CTTCGGTCACACAAGGCCTTCGGCTACACAGGGGTCCTCGGTTACACGGAGCCCTCGGCTACACCAGAAGCCTTCGGCCAAGCATGCTCAATCATCGAAGATTCCTTTTGGAGACAGCCAACCACCGCATTTAATGCCACGTCACATCCGCCAACCGCATTCAATGCGGTGAACGTACCACTGCCGGTGCCAACCGGCTGATGTGACCCTTCGGCCGTTGGATTACTGACACGTGTCCCCTCATCGCATTTATTGCTGCTATAAATAGCAGCCCATTTCTCCTTGTAAAACACAATCGACATCCCGATTACACACACTGAGTTCATTTAATAAAATCGACTCTCTCTCCTCCTATTTACTCTGACTTCTCTCTAAGTTACTCCCGCAATAACCCCTCGGATAGGATACCCCCCGGGTAGACTATCCATCAGGTATCATACCGGAGAACATGGATGGGGAAGCAAAAGGCCATAGCAGAAATATTTGGCAGTTGGGAGAAGTCATATTCTGAATTGCCCCGTTTCATGACAGCGTTCCAACATTCAAATCCTGGAACTATTGTGCAGTGGTACCCACCCCCTAATACTCCCACAGGTTATATGCGGTTTCAAAGAGTATTTTGGGCATTCAAGCCTTCAATAAATGGTTTTAAGCATTGTGGACCCGTACTTACTATTGATGGCACACACTTGTATGGAAAGTACAAGGGTACATTGTTCGTGGCTATGGGTTGTGATGCGAACAACCAAATATTTACAGTGGCCTTTGCAGTTGTTGAATCTGAGAATGAGGATAGTTGGCTATGGTTTATGGCATGTATTAGGGAGTTTGTCACTAATAGGGAGTTGTGTGTCATTTCTATCGACATGCAGGTATTGTCAGGGCAATGAATGAGGTGGGCAGTATTTGGGAGGAGCCTTATGCGCACCATAAGCTATGTATCCGCCATCTTGCATCGCATGTGCACACTCATGTCAAAGACACTCACCTAAAAAAATCTTTTTGTCTGGACCGCACGACAACATCAGAAAAAGAAGTTTGATGGTGGGTTCAAGAAGATAGGGGAAATGAGATTGGAGGCACGACAATTTCTGGGTAACATTCCCCCGGAAACGTGGTCATTACACCACGATGGCGGGTACAGATACGGTACCATCACTTCTAATCTGGCTGAGGTTTTCAACAACGTGATGAAAAATGCCGAATATTTGCCCATCACCGCTTTGGTCCAGGTTTCCTTTTATCAAGTTAATGCTTATTTTGTTAATAAGCGTGAAACCAGTAAAACAAGAGTGACAGAAGGCCGCCAGTACTCCCTGCACATCAAAGATTTAATTGAGAAGAATAGATAGAAGGTCAAACATCACACTGTTACTCCATTTGAATATAAAAGGCACACGTTCCTTTTCGGTCTGTCCCAATATAAAAGGCACATTTCCCTTTTTGGCAAACAAAACAGTGTCAAATAGTGGCAAACAGTGCCAAACAGTGTCCAAACAGTGTCTAAACAGTGCCAAACAGTGTTCAAACAGTGTTCACCCTTAAAAAGTCCCCAAATGCAAATGTGCCTTTTATATTGGGACGGAGGGAGTATATTAATAATATTCATATTCATATATGCTACATATATGGTTAGATGGCTATTTGCTGATTTATCTCGCACGTCATTGGCTTCTGGGCTTAGTGTGTACATGAATGGATTTGATCGGATGTCTGAAGATCATGTATGGTGTGCGTAATATAACATTAATTATAATATGTATAGCATAAATACTAATTTTGTATCTTTATGAAACAGATTACATGGTTGCCATATACAGTTGAGATGTTTGCAGAGTTGGCCCCCGTTGGACGAGAGCATTCTCACATATGGCGAGCACGTGTGCCGTTGATATGCTTTGACATTGTTGAGCTGCATTTGCGTGATCGTGTATTGCGACAGTTTGGGTTTGAGCAGGTCATTCTAGCACCTATCGACACGTATGTAGAGGTTCATAGGTTGGATATGCGTGGGAAGCATACGGAGGATTGGGCACTGAGACATGTCCGATACGTCACTCTCTGGGACAGGCGAGCTGAGCTAGTTGTGACTGGGACACCGACATTTGTCCCATCTGTTTCAGGAGACTACATGAGATGGTATTACAACATCACTCGTTTGTTTGTGTCTCCTTCGTTCAGACTCCCTACTCACCATTACCAGCCTAGCTCATTGGTTTTGCATCTTACGTTGAGTATATTACTAATTACTAAAGTAAGTCATTTTCTTTATTTCATACTTTTATTTATTTCTAACTAATTGTAACTGTGTTTCATATTTCATACACGAGCTCTGCATCGTATACATCAGCGGGCTACTGCCACAGTGAGTGATACGCAGGACGTGGACATGTACGGTCAGGCTCTGACGAGCATTGCCTCCTTGTGTTCAGATGTGTTGGGGCGAGTCGACTACGGCTATCTTATACACATGCTCTCATCTCAGGATATGCCATCAACGTCTAGTGCAGCGGCGACTTCATCATCCCAGACTCAGCATGAGAGAGTGGTTCTTCAACCACGACAACGGCGTAGGCGTAAGCAGCAATAGGCAATAGCAACATCTTCATGACCAAGACGATCAAGATGACCATGACAATTTGTAGTTTGTCAAACTATATTGGAGTTTTTCTTGTACACTAGATTGTAGGCACAATTGACTTTATTATATGTATTTCCACCTCTAAACTCTTGTATGATGTGTTATGAATATTGGATGATTGTACTCTGTTTTACCGGTTATTGATGCGGCTTTTTGTATGTTGTTGAGAGCAAGTGTTATGTATGTGTTTGTGAGCAGGCGTGTTGTATGTAATGTGTTGTATCTGGTTTGTAACCCCTAAATAGGACAGTGACACCTTATTTTGAGCTAACAGATGAGTTTGAGCTGAACCGGAACTAGAAAGGTGCTGAAATGCACATTTCGGAAGTACACACGATCGTGCCTAGGGACGCATGATCGTGTGTGGCTGACAATAGCTATTGGCCTTCGTTCACATGGAAAGGGGTAAGTCGCCCAACGGTTGGGCGACTTTCCTCAACCATAGTTAAATCCGGTTAGATCGGTAAATACTTTTTTTCCAGCATTATTTTCATAATTAATTAATTAATTAACATTAATCTTCTATAATTAATAGCAATACAAATTCATCTCTACCGTCCATCTAAAAATGATCTTTCACCCTTCACTTAAAAAAACATCTTCGGATCTCATTTCTTCGTATTTCTTTTTTTCCATCTACTAGACCAGACCAGACCAGACCAGACCAGCAAATTACAGTCCAAGTAAAAACATCCTAAGTATGGTCTGATCTGGTCTGAACTGGTCTGGGACTGCAAACAGTCCAAGTAAAAACATTCTTAATAAACAAACAAACATGTTTCCATATAGGGGCGGAGCCAGGACACTGGGCCAGACTAGGCCGGTACAAAGAATATTTTTGAAAAAAAAAATTACACGTAATTTTTTACACTAAAATTAAAGACATTTTTAAAATTTGAGCTAAGCCAGATCTGGCCCACCCCTAGCTACGCCACTGTTTCCATATTACTCCACGTCATTTTAATGATTGTCTTTGAATTGGAGTGTCTTATTACATTTTTTCTTTTAATTCTCTTATTAAATTTAATTACTCTATATTTAGTTTTAGTTTTTTCGTCTCGGGCACCAAATTTCCTAAAGACGGCCCTGGATAGAGCTTCTTTGATGAATTGTTGTTCGCTAATATCTTTGATGCTAACAAATACTTTGTATTTATAATTTAATTATATAGACGGAGTATAAATTCTAGATCGATAGAAGGCATTGCTTAGCTGTAGAATTTTTTTTTTAGTAATGACAAATTTGTTAGCAAATTCTTTAAAACGAATTGAAGTATGAGGCAACAATGGCAAAAGGGCTTTCTGTATTCAGAATTATCCAGGGGCAGAGCCAGGATAATGGGTCAGACTGGGCTGATACAAACAATATTTTTGGGAAATTTTTTAAATGAAATCTTTTACACTAAAAATTTAGAAATAGAATTTTTTAAAAATTGGGCTGGACCAAGCTAGGGTTGGCCCTTTCCTAGCTCCACACACTGTTGCGATCAAACTCCTTCCCAAATACACCTCCACCAAATTAAAGCAGGCTTCCAGTGCATTAATCAGGACTGCCCGACAAATCTTTAAGGAACCATAGCATACAATTTTCAATCTGCGCCCATCTGCGAGGCCACCGGTACGACGCTACCTAAACGGTTCTGAGACAGGGTTCAGGTCAGAATGACGGCCTGTCACATCGCCTACGGTCTGCTTGGGACTCCCCCAAAGCTCCGACCAAGCAAGAAAACCGGCGATGATGGTCATCTTCTTCGATCAAAATTACCAGAAATCTTCCGTTCCATTCCCCTAGAGCCAAGATTCAATTAAGGCCACAAATTGCATTATAATCACAAACCTGCCAAACATTCAAAGAGAAAAGCCTAAAACTTAACCATCAACTTTATTATAGTTCTAGACCAAATGACACTCAGCTCAATATGAGATGACATTGTGGTCCTAACATTTTAAATCTTTGGTGCTCAACCTGCAGCCTTCATGAGGTTCTGTCGTACGTTGCTTATATTTAATATATAGGTGTATTCAATGAATTAAATTAATGTATATCATCGGTGATTGCAAAGGGCAGCGGAGCAGCGACATCGTGCATGCTGCTACCTACTTCGTATTTTATAATGGAATATACCAATTATTATGTACGGAGTATATTACTTAATTCCATTGGCAACTGATTTTACTACTCCTACTCCATATTTATTACGGAGCATGAAGTATGTCGTATACTTTTGGAATCCCAAAAGACACTTGAAGCATTATTCTGGCAAATTAATACATACTCCGTACGTACTTCGTATTTCAACATCTATCAAATTAATTAATGTTTTGTGGGAATCGGAAAAGTCAGTATTTTGTTTCCCAAATTGCTATCCCTCCAAAACCTCTTCCCCACTATTTTGTTTTTATATATAATAATAATACGATAGTATATAGATATATAGATATAGATTTCTATCTTCTTCAGCCGATCTTTTTCCTTCCATCAATACAACTCTTCTCCACCGATATGTTGCTTCAGCTGTTCACTATATCAACCATATCCACCTAATGTGAATGCTGTTGTAGCATATCTCTGTTCACTATCAACCCTAGGCATATCAACCCTAGGCATATTAAGCAAGGGGATGAAGGAGAAGCGCGTGGTTGCCGGACTGAACCGTCACCGCCACATCCGCCTGCGCCACCAACACGTTCGACGCCAAGATTATCTGAAGGTGATTATCTCAATTTAGCGAATTTCCAGTATGATATAACAGATTCTTTAATTTTAAAGCTGATTAATAAAAAATAATAGTTCATTTGAATCACGATTGGTGCCCAACAAATAGACCTCCATTGTAATTTATTCCCCCTTTTTTGTTTCAAATTTTTGTTCTTTGCGTTGTCAAAACACCTTGGGCGGTCGGAAGGCTTAGATACAACAATCTGGAGAAGCCCGTACAAACCGAAGGTAATAATGTACATCTGCAAAAGGGATTTAGTGATTCATTAAATTAATTATATTTCTGCAGTTGTAAGGTGAAGCATTGCATCTGTAGATTTATTATTCAACACTATAGCCTTGAGTGCTGAGGGGGCCTGGATTTGATTTCGATGCTCAGTGGGCTGCTAATTTCCTGACCTTGAGAGATGTATTGACCATGCCAAACTCTGGATTGAGAACTCCACCCAGCCTATTGGGCCCAACTTGAATGCTTGCGAGTACAATTTGTTTATTTTCTAAAATTTAGAATCTTTGAGTAATTTGCAAAAATGTTGGGTTATAATATATTTTAAACTATTATGTTTCTATAGTTTGTTGAAGTCATGTCATATCATCTTTCTATGATGCAGGAGCTGATAGTCTGCTCAATCAAGAGGCTAAGAAAATTAAACATCCAAGTTTTTATGGATTAGTGGATTACTCCGTCACAATTAGTCAATCAAAACATAAGGGGTTAGACAAGTTGCTCACTGAGAAGGTAAAGTTGCAACCATAAAATACCCTTATTTTTTTATTTTTTTTGTGTAATCCCATAAAATATACTATTGTACTCCGTAAAATGTGCAAATCTTCTTCGTTCATTATGCGATTCCGTCTTCTCCCTTGAATATTGATACTCAATTGTCCAAATTAAACTCCAAAGCAACAGCCCTCCAGCACGCCCACATTAGGTACAGGGTACTTAGGCAGTCTTTCTAGCCTTTGAGGTTGTTTCACTTCTTTTGACTCTATTTCATTAATTATTAGCTTCTGATTTTTTAGTAGCCTCCTATAGACTATCATTGCAAAGTATCCATCTTAATATAAATAACATAAGAAGGTAAAAAGAAACAGAGAGCTAACACCAGTTCAAAAAGAAGCTATAGCTAAATTTATGATAACAAAGTTGATTGTGTAGAGGGTATGTGTTTTCTCTCTTATTTGAATTTAGTTAATATCTGATCTATGAAAATTCTTCAATTTGATTTTAGCACCTGTTTGTGATCAGATTGTCTTCTAATTCAATTCTTCAATTTATTCATTCACATCAGAAACGGTGCCAAACTATCAGCGATTCTTACTTATTCATTCAGCTTTGATTTAGGGCAATTTTTTGCAGTTGATTTTCTGATTTAATCCCATATGGGATGTAGATTTAAATATGGAAGGATAATCTCCTTTAAAATCCCTCACCATTTAACTAGCGACACGTGAGACGCAGTTTCCAATTGAAATTTTATTTGGTTTGATTGCTTACCATTCTCGCCTTCTTCTTTGTAATTTTGTCTACTCTTTTATAGAAAAGTTGAGTGCAGAACTTTCAATAAAGAATCACATCAAGGCTGAAGGAGAAGACAATGAACAGTACGTTTGTTTCTACTGTTCACTGTTGAACTGTTTTTGCTGAGTTAGAGATTGGGCAGCAAGTATTAAAACCGTAAGAATCTCCTATAGTACATAACACTTTGCTTGATGATCGAGATTTAAGAGCCTATATTCTCCCTACATGATATTCAACCGATTGATTCAGTGCTTTTATATTTCAGTGTTAGTTATGCTTACATGATTTGTATATAATTGAATTTTTTTCCTGTACTATTTGAGCATATGTGAAATCCAGAATCAGGCCTCTTCTATTCGCAGTTAGAAGATTTACCTTCAGTTGAAATGCATCCATGTTTATTGCAAAATCAATTTAGGAGCTCATCAACTTGTTCAGGAGGGTATGGAGAGATTTGAAATATGTTTTTATTGAAGAAGCTAAGGGAGTGATAACATTAGATGAGAAAACCTGTCCGTGTAATGTACTATTATAATCCTTTGTCTCAATCTTAGGGGGATAGAGGTAATTATAAATAAAGCGTGATCAAAGTAGAGAATGAAAGTAGTGTAGAATTATACACTATATGTTGCAATTATTTGAAAATGAAGTAAATACAAATATCTATGATTTGAGAATGACATCCCTTGCATTTACTTAAACTTAAAATACATAAGTGACAGATGTAAATATCTCCCCTACATTTTAAGCCATATTTTAGATCAATAAAAATGAATTTAGAAATGGGATAGAAAAACATTTGATGTCTAAATTCACGGAAATCACTATGTAGGATACTTAATTCTCCGTATTAGATAGGATGAAAACTTAGCAAAATGCATGTCACTGACTCACTATAAGATATAATTATAAATTCATCATTTGGGTGTGGTAGAATACCAATTAATTAAAGATGAACACTATTCAATATTGCCCACCTCAAATGATGAGGTGGTTAAGATTAATGATTATATACTCGCATTTCAATTATAAATTCATTATCTGATTACAAATGCCATCAGAGATGAAGATGAAGACACATCTGAGCTTTTATTCAACATCATTACCTGACTTTGACAATAATTTGTTGCAAGAGATCTACTCTATAGAACTCCTTAATAAAATTAAGTAATCTAGAGTTCCTATCCATGATACAAGTTATGCTTGTGATTTTATAAGGAATCTAGATTTATCACCCAGTTTGTTCAATGGTACTTGCTTTTAGTTACATGACTTGGCAAACATGTTATTGAGGAGAGGATGTTGTCATGGACAACTAGACAACTGCAGGTCAAAACATTTCTCTCCCAGGCCTACCTTAACTCTTGATGTGAGAGTGTGAGACTATCATTTACCTTCTAGCTCAAGCAATTCCTTCCAATGTTTAACTATGCGATGATGATCAATAAGAGTTAAGGTTGATCGTTGGAAAATGTTGGAATAAGCCGATCAATTTTCATCAATGGACAATTTTACGTCATTGTATCTAAAGTAACGGGTCCAGCAGATTCAAAATTTCTTATATGTGACTATAATGGTAGATCAATAAAGTCCATCGTAAATGTTGTACACAAATAAGTTTTTACAAATTTATAGTGTTATATTTTCTCTTAAATGTAATTGATAGTTTTTTAATACAAATTTATAGTGTTGCACGGGTACAAAAACTAGTTAATTCGAAAAAGAAGACTGACTCTTTATTCATTCGCCCGACTTCTTCCCTATTCTACAGCCGGCGAACAGCTCTCAAGGCTCCAACATCTCGCCGGGAAACTTCAACGGGCCGCCCCCCAACCCCTACCTATACCCCTGCTCGCCGGGAAGCTTGAAGAAGTGAGAAATGGATGCTTTGAGAGCCTCATATGGAGACGCTTCCTCTGAATCAGATTCAGACTCCGACCACTCTCTTCCACTACCCTCCACTTCCACCGATATGGCCGCAGAGACATTCACGCCTCTGCCTCCGCCTCCTGCAGCTCTACTTGACTTGCCCTGTTCATTGGGTAAATTCATTTCTCAACCATTAGTACATTTGTGATGTGGTAATTTGGGTTACTCTTTGGCTACCTAGTTATGCTCACCAGATATCCGGTGTTTGGTTTTTAAAGGTTCGTTTGATTGCTTGGAAACCAGTCTGGTTAGTCGAGTTAGAAGCTTTCCTCATGTAGATGGCAATTACGCCCTTCATGTTTACATTCCAGGTACATCACTTAGCAAAATCACCATTGCATTTGTAATATATTTAATTTTTTCATTTCAGCATTTTAGTAATCTCTGGGGTTTATATGGTTGGGTTATTTTTCAAGGGAGGGGAGGATTGATGTTTGTTTACCTAACTTATCTGTATTTACCTGTCATCACAGAATAGCAATTAACTACTACATCAAACTCTGATACTCCGTATTTGTTTAGATAAATCATGCATTTGTATATATTTTCTCATATTCATTTCATTTCTAATTCTAATTATCTTACTGTAAGAAAAGTTAATATATTAAATGGATATAATTATCTTCCCGCAGAAACCTGCCTACCAAATAAGGGTAAGGTAATATTTTAGCTATAAATGGATAAAAGAACAGACTTGTATGCAGTTAATTATTTTATGGATGAGACATGTCTTGGCTTATAATAGTGGTTTGTTGACTTTGTTCCTTACAGTTCATATACCATCAGCACTAAGGAAGGAGTTAGCCCAGTTTTTGGAAAGAGTATCTCTTGTACATGATCTCAATGTTGTTGATATTGATATACCGTTGAGTAATTTAGTAAGAGACAAGGGGGGTAAGCTTGAGCAAGTTGCCTTAGGTAGGGAATTTCATATAAGTTTGGGAAGGACTGTTCCCATTCGAGTGCACCAGATTAATTCAGTAGTCTCAATGCTTCGTCAGAGGCTACAATTTCAGCGGAGGTAATGCGATAATGCCTTCTATGTTACATATATGTGGATGTGCACGGTGCACCTTGACCATTGGATGATTATTTTTTAAAGTTTGATCTGATTTCCAATGTAATTATTCTTGGAAGGTATTGGATAAATTTTCACAAATGGGAGGTCTTTGTGAATGATGATGGCTCACGCACGTTTTTGTCATTGGAAGTTGTCACAGGAGGCTTATTTGAGGTATGACAGGCAAACATGCAATAACCTAGTTATTTGAAATATGTTCTTTTACTATCCTGTGTATTTGCAATCCATTTCTTGTATATATTCATTCATCCTTAACCCTAACACTGATGTTGAGTGTCACAATGTTTCGACTATGGAAAAAAACGAGTCAAACAGCTCCTGAGTCGCTCAGTCAAAACTCAAATCGAGTTCGATCAAAGTTGAACTTGAGCTGACTTGTTGAGCAACTGAGGTGAGCTCAAGCTCAATTCCTTATAGCTCGTTAGCTCGCGAACCATAACATATACATGTGTGTGTGTATATACATATACATACATATATATATATATATATATATATATATATATACACACAAATGTTCATGTCCGGAATTCCGGACAGGAACTGCCGTCCGGACGGCGGCGTTTGGCCGACTTCCCGGTGGCATTTTTTGATGAAATTTTTATGGCATGTTCTCTATCAAGTCTAGTTTATCCTCAAAAGAATTCAACCAAAAACTCAATCGGGAAGGTCGTCAAATGATTTTTGCAAGTTAACTGGTCCGAAATATGTATTTTCCGGACCAGTTAACTTGCAAAAATCATTTGACGACCTTCTCGAATGAGTTTTGGCTGAATTTTTGTGTGGATAAACTAGACTTGATGGAGAACATGTCATAAAAATTTCATCGGAAAATTCCACTCGGAAGGTGGCCAAACGCCGCCGTCTGGACGGCGGTTCCGGTCAGGAATTCCGGACCGGAAGAGTACTATATATATATATAGTCCTTTTCTTGTCCAGCCGGCCTGACCGGAACCGCCGTACGGCCGAGGGCATTTCGGGCACTTCCCGATGGATTTTTGTGATGAAATTTTTTTAGCATGTTCTTCATGAAGTCTAGTTTATCCATACCAAATTTCAGATCAAAATTCGATCGGGAAGGCATTAAAATAATTTTTTGAAGTTGACTGCGTCAAAGTATACATATAAAAACCCAGTCAACTTCAAAAAATTATTTGAATGCCTTCCCGATCGACATTTGAGCTGAAATTTGGTATGGATAAACTAGACTTGATGAAGAACATGCCCAAAAAATTTCATTAAAAAATTCCACCGGGAAGTGCCCGAAATGCCCTCGGCCGGACGGCGGTTCCCGTCAGGCCGGCTGGACATGAAAAGTCCTCTATATATATTTATGTAGAAGTGTAGAACATATTTGAGAACATAATTTAAGCAGAGAAATGAGAATAATTCTGGAGTGTTGGATTTAGGCATCTTGCATCATGTGAAACACAAATGTGCAACAACAACAATATCCAAGTCTTAATCCCAAAAGATTTTGGGGTGAAAAAGAAACGTGCATTATCGTAATTTAGAAAATGTGGATTTGAATTGTGCATTAACTATAGATGTGCACCTCCGTGAACTATAATGTGCATCGTTTTGGATCATTCTCTTTTCTCACGGGAATGAGTGTTCTCACTGGTTCTTGACCTTATATGTGTGTGTTTGATTCCGATAAAAAGTGGTTGTCCCGTATAAAATGTGAACGACTCTACTTTTGATCATGTGATGTGTAGTATTGCATTCAGATTATTCTCACCATCCACTTTTAATCATATACGGTATATTGTTACATACTGGAAGTGCACTTTTTGTAATGAAGAAAAACTTCAATATATTTATGAAAATGCTATTGCATTTTTCATCCACTTTAATGCGCTTTTGACATATTTAGAGCCATTAGATCATGAAACCGATGCTCCATATTTTTTACTCTTCATGGTAATGCCTCTTTTTATTTGATCCAAAATCTATTTATATACTCCATATATGATTATTTATAAATACACACATTTTATATATACACGGATTATATGTCTACACCCACATTATATCTATTCATGTATGTTTATGTATTTATATATTTCAAAATATAATTGATGGTAAAATAAGGAGTAAAAGTGTCGGTGGAGGAGGAACTAATAAAAAATGAGAACAATAAAGTACAAAATACAAATATTATATACGATAGTATTATTTATCTATTTGTATGCATAGATATAAATAGGGGTGCAAACGAGCCAAGCCGTTCGCGAGCCGCTCGTGGATCGCTCGGGTAAAACTCGACTCGAGTTCGGTCATATCCAAGTTCAGCTCGAGCTCGGCTCGACTCGTATAGTAAACAAGCTCAAATCAAGCCTCCTTATTTTAGGCTCGTGGCTCGCGAGCCGGTTCGCGAGCCTAGTTGTGTGTGTATATAGATATATTATGTAAAATAATTTTATTTATATATATATATATATATATATATATATATATATATATAATTATATACTCCGTAATATTTTTGGGATGGTAATTCTAATTTAGGATTACTCTATTTTTAATACATATAACTATTTTATAATAGAAACAAATAAATATAATATTATTGTTATTATAACCATTATCTATAATAATTGTAATCTAGAATAAGTATTGCGATTTGGTTTTTCATTATCTCAATTGGAATGAGGTAAAAAGCCATTTGACATTAACTTCGAACAAAACATATGAGTAGAGGAGTTGGAATTTCCTTGCTAGCCTTCCCCCGCAACCCGAGCTCGAACCCCTTCACCGTAAGCTTTTGTACTCCGTATGACTAATACTCCCTCTTTTTAACTTCTAACTACTATATTTCCCACACCGGAAGGTCACAAGTAGTTTCCGCTGACATTGATCTATAAAGCACCTCATCTCAATTGGATCAATCGAGCACCTAGCAATCTGAACACTCTCGAAGTGTCTGATAAATGCTTAAGCTTTTGAGTCGATCTCGAGCGGCTCGCGAACTCAAGTAAATCTTTCGAGTCGAACTCGAGCTTTAATATTCAGGCTCGATCGAGTTCGAGCCGAACTCGAGCATTTAAAATATTCTCGAGCTCGAGTTCGAGCATATGTGAGTTCGGGCTCGGCTCGGCTCGTTTACACCCCTAGATATAATATTAATAATTTGGCTAAAGGGTCTAATAGGTCCTTGAACTAACTTAAAGTGTTCAATTAGCCCCTTATATAGGAGGTTCAGCCCGGCCATCGCCAATTGGGGAGGTTCCCGGTGGAATTTTTTGATGAAAATTTTCGAGCATCTTCTTCATTTAGTCTAGTTTATCCATATCAAATTTTAGCTAAAAATTAAATCAGGAAGGTAGTCAAATGATTTTTCGAAATGTACTGGGTTGTTTAACTCCGCAGTTATCTTCAAAAAATCATTTGACTGTCTTCCCGGTTGAATTTTAAGCTGAAATTTGGTATGGGTAAATTAGACTTAATGAAGAAGATGCTAAAAAATTTTCATAAAAAAATTTCACCGGGAACCACCCCAATAGGCGACGTCCAGACAGAACCTCCTATATAAGGGGCTAATTGAACACTTTAAGTTAGTTTAAGGGCCTATTTGACCTTTTAGCCTAATAATTTTGGATACAGAAGTTTTATTTTGACCTCAAATTCGAGCATCTTATTCTAGCTCAAACCTATAAAAATAATTAGCAAAACTCAAGTCGAGATCGAATTGAGCCCGAATCACGCTAGAGCCAAAATTCTTAGGCTCATTCGAGCTTGAGCTCGAGTCAGTGCATTCTTATCAAGCTCAAGCATGGCCAAGTTTGGGTTGGACTCGTTTGCACCCCTAGTTTTCACAATACAAATCGATGATAATTTCCGCTTCTACTAGATGTAGACTATGTATTTCATAGAGGGAGTGTAGATCCCGTTTGGTTAGAGTGAAATTTTGTTGAAATGATTGAATGTGAAGAATCATTGAAAATATACGGAGTATTTCAACTGATAAAAGAAATACAAGTAGTATCTAAAAGATGATGATAAAAGTCTCTTTATCTTCATTTCATGTTGTAGCATCTGAAATTAATTTTGCATTATAAATGCTCCACTCATTGAGAGTGATAAGTCAAAAAATGTTGCTCTACTCATTTTGTTTCTCATATTCCTAGATAACAAAACAGGTTCAAGCTGTTAATGAGGTTTATAGGCTTCACAATCTTCCAGAATTTTACAAGGTTGGGTTACAGAACTATGGAGTAATATTTTCTTCTACTGTTTATTCCACCATTTTTTGCTTAGCCAATCACATAATTGTGTGTTGTTGGCAGGATCCACGGCCACATATATCGATAGCTTGGGCATTGGGTGACATCAGTGATACGCTTAAAAGAGTGGTACAAGAAGAGATGAAAAGATATCTTGTGGCGAGCTCACCACAAAAACCTATTTTTACAAGCAAATTTAGTGGCATTTTGTGTAAAGTTGGTAGTAAATGTCATGAGATATGCAAATTTCAAGGAGAATAGATGGGCTACAGTGGGTACTCTGATTCTACTAACGACATTATTATATATGTTGTGCATTGTTTCCGTTGGATCAGGGGTCTCTCTATCTGGCAATCAAAGCTCCTTGGCTGTCTGATCAGACATCCAACAGGTGCAGTTTTGCGGGTCCATTTCATTTCAAAATATTTAGTATGAAGAATAATTGAACTTCTTCTGCCACTAAACTCAGTTCGGGTTGAAGATTCTATATTTATTTATGTATAAATGTATGATACCATGTAACAGCTTACCAAAACTAATAATAACTAATAAGATAGTATAGTATTTTTATTTATTGGTGGAAGCACGTCTCAGCATTCCACAAATGTTTCTGTGATAATTTAAATAGTTAATTAGGAATGACCAGATTAATGTAGAGACATTGCACTAATTAATATGGGGTATGGACTTATTTAAATTTTTAATAGTTCTTTATAATACTGACTGATAAGCATCATACGTGCCATAGATTTATTCAATGCTTGTTTGGTGGTTTTAGATTTAGGAGTGAAAGGGAAATTTGTTTTATTTTACCAATCTATCTCTATTTGCCAGTTGTAAATACAGATACTTATATGATTAATGGGATCATGTATTTTTATATGTTTTTTTTATTTGCACTTATTTTCCGATCTTCTAAAGGTATGAATAATTTAAAATAAAAATCATACCTCTTCTTCCTTCCCTCTGATTTTCCCTTACCAAACATGTTCTGTAGGTATGTCATAAGCTTGGAAAATCGTTGAGAAAAGATAACACTGAGGAATTTTGTACTTGCTTTTATTACACTTTTATCTCAGAAAAATACTCCCTCCGGGGCCCGGTGGGTCCACCGGTTTGGTTCGGCCCGGCCCGGCTGTTGGGTGGTCCGGGCTCGGGCCCAGTTTTTGGTGAACCGGCCCGGCCGGTTCGTGCCGGTTTTTATTTTTTTTTTAATTTTTTTAAGTTTTGGGTTGGATTAGGTATTTTGGGCCATTTGAGGTGGCTTGGGGTGGTTTGGGGTTGAGGGGGAGGGGGTTAAATAGAAGAGCCAAAAAAAAAATTAGAACCGGTTAGGCCCAGCCCGGCCCGGTTTGGCCCGAACCGGGCCCGAACCGGCCCGAGTCCACCCCTAGTCCCATTAAGTTTGTCTCATACCATATTTGGTAATATTTCTATAACTACAATTCATTCTTACTTTATTCCACTTTAACAATTCATTATCAACCACACAATTCTACGTTTTCTTAAAAACCACACCACACCTTTGTCCCAAACTTAAGGGGACGGAGGTACTACGTCGTATATAGGAAATCAACTAAAATTATGTGACTATCTAATTGACAATAAGCATTGCAAAAGGTAAGGTGTATATGGATATATAATCAATACTAAGGCTGATGATGATCAACCCTTTTTATTCATCATCATTTACCCCAATACCGCAAAGGTTCCCACCTACGTTTGGTAAGGGGGGTCGGATGTACGCAATCTTACCTCTGTACTAAAGTACAGAGATACTGTTTCCGGATGACCCATAGTGAAAATTGCGTCCAAAATCGCATGGATTGACTGCTGCTTCATAACAAAGAAGCGCAGACAGTTTAGTGAATCTTTGGCTCCATTGTAAATGATGGAAAGATCATTCCTTTTTATTGAACTGCAAATATTAAAGAAGCAAACGGATATACAAAACGCCAAAGGTCGTGTGTTCTAAAATAGATAACTTTCAAGCTAAATAAAAAGAAATCATGCATGTTTAGGTTCTCTTTTGATCATTCCGTGATGCTTGTCGTATAAGGTTGCATCATCAGCTACCTCTCTGATTTTTTCAAAATCTTGCCGTTTCCTGAATAACAAGACACCTGTCACAGTGATGAAAAGGGCAGCCTTGCCCAGAAAATTACCAGCTTGCCCAACAACGTCCAGTCCTGTTAGAACATCCACCATATATGACATGAAAAATCCAACCATTGCTGCCCTCCCTGCACTTTGGTATTACAATAGTTTTTAATATTGTTGTTGTTGCTGAAATCAAGAGAAAATGGTATATGTAAAAAGAGTTGTGTTCTATCAATGAACACTCAACTTATATTTTCAACAATTTATCTTGGTTAGACTAAATGTGCCATACTCAACTTGTTTGTAACCATTTTCGTCACATTTTTGGACACTTATATGAAGTGGTTTCCATTGATTAAATGTGGTCACTCTTTGGACAAAGAAAAGGTTTTCAAATGATATTTTCTTGGAATAGAGGGAGTATGATGGATCAACTAAAACACCCTTCATTGATGCAGTAAGACTAGATTATTTCTGGATGAACAATTAATGTAGTATCCGAAACTAACAATTATTTGATGGCAATTTTTTCGCTGAAACGAAAGTATATGTGCTCACAAGGGGAGCAAATAGGAGTATGTGATATGTTATGTTTTTTACCATTTAGAATCTCAGCTTGTGGGAGGTGAGAGTGCATGATCCAAGCCGGCCACCATGGTATGATAGAGCTTCTAAACAGAACTGGTTCCTGGTTCATTGCCGCCTCTGGGAACACTTCAAGACATTTTCTCCTCCTTGCTTCTGAAAGCATGATAGTGGCAAAATTTTTTAATATTTCTGTAGAATTCTTAAAATATTATTTTCTAATAATAATAAAATACCTGCAACAATGACTGAATCCCAGTCCATCCTTCCATTCCTTACAAACACGTTCAGATCCCAAGAACCATTTTTCCATCGGTTATCTGAAAACCTTGGAAGGGGATGAGACTTTTCGTCTCTGCCATTTTGGCTTTCACCCACCATGGTTGAATGAGGTTTAATCCACTGTTTCTTGTTTCCAGGATTATCACGAGAGCTGGAAGCTCTGTGTACAGAAGAAGCTGTAATGCCTAGAGATGACATGGATGTCAAAGAAATCTGTGGATATTTTTTGCAGCCTTTCTTCTTCTTCTTCTTCACTTATACAGTGATGGGTTCATATAAAGTTTAGCAGCTAGGCAAGATGCCCATGCTGTGTGATAAATCATCTTATCTTTCTGTTCTTTTTCAGAAAATGATGGGCATGCAAGGAAAGAAAGAAAATCCTTGGGTAACGTTTGGAACTCAGTCTCGCAGAATGGCATGGAAATAAAATAGGGAGGAAAGTATAGGTGAAATTTTGACGGAAAGAATGCGGTGCGATAAAACACTGGTTCACAATAAATTTGTTTTGTTTGTTTTTTCAAACTTCGTTTAATATAATATTAACAAGTCAAAGGAGTATGCCAAAATTTAAAAAACATTAATCATATTCATCTTTCTTTGCATTTTTCGTGTGGTGAAATGGGCCAACTAAAACCAAACACAAAAATATTTCAATTAGCATTTAATTTTCTTGGGATCCATAGCTCCATACATACCAATACTATAAGCAGTTCACGAAAGCATTACTACATGGAAAAGTTAAAAAGAAACCCAGAAAAAGAACAATAGTAGGTGAAGAACTCCAACCATGTGTAATAATCTGTCTACAATGTATTTGAAATGAATGTCAGATACACATTGTGTAGTATACTCCAATTTGTCAGTGAAATTTCATGCGTACATAACGAAAACAACAAGAAAATTATCTAGGCTTTTCCACAGCTTGTTTAAATTTTTGACAATATATATCAATGAAGTATGATAGTAATATGCAGAAGAAAAGGGTAAGGAAGTGATTTAAGCTTCCCAGCCTCTCAAGACAGTAGCACGAGCAACGCGATTGACTCCGAGAGTGAATGCACCCATCCTAAGGTTGCAGTCATGTGACTGGCACATGCTCTTTATGTTTTGGAATGCCTTTGACATGTACTTCTTTAGCTCCCTATTCACCTTCTCCTCATCCCACATAAACCCTTGAATATTCTGCACACAGAAAACACACATTATGAAAATGAATCTTTAGGAATTAGGATGATTCCAACGCATACAAAAACTAATTCTCCTTCTTTCTAGACTTACCCTTCAAAGAATTAAGTGGAATACATTCCAAAACATGAGAATAGTAGAATGAGAAAGGTCCAAACGACTTAAATAAACAAGGACATTCTGAGTTGATAAATGAAAACCATGCACATTACCTGAACCCACTCGAAGTAACTCACAGTCACACCTCCAGAATTTGCATATATGTCTGGTAGAATTACTATTCCTTTATTAGACAATATCTGCACCCAAAAACCATTTTATTTGTTTCAGAATGTGGAACTATATCACCATTAACAATAGGACCTTTTGAAGGAAAAAGAAAAAAGGGATCCTACCTCATCAGCTTCGGGATCAGTGGGGTGGTTAGCAGCTTCTATAATGAACTTCGCCTTCACACTCCCGGCATTTTCTCTACACAGTGTTCAAAAAGGGGAAAGTTATGAGCAAATGTCACAAAAAGTGAACCTTTTATAATATTTTTGGACCCCAGCAAATTCCAGGGAAAGGGAAAAGTATATTAAGTAATGTTGTTTCTTACGTAGTATGTTATTAGTTCTTTTTTAACTTATATGTAGTATTTTGTATTTAGATTTCTTAGTCTTTGTGTTACATACATGACTAAATAAAATGGGTATCAGCAAATATCTAAATTGATATTATTGGGTTTATTTTAGCATTCCTTTTGTCCCTCCACACACTTTCTCTCCTTCTCATTTGCCTCTATGTTTCTTCCTATTTTCTTTCCCTAGTACTTACCAGTTTCCAAGTTCCAAATGGACTCATAAAGAATATAATATCCAGTTGACAAGAAATTAGTGTCTGAACCTGTTAAGCACTCCACCCAGAGCACAGGGTATAAGAACATCACATTCATGTGTTAGCAACTCATTTGAGTCCATGGCATCCCCACCACTGAAATTAGTCAGCATTCCTGTTGTCTCTTTATGATTGATGAGAGCAGGTATATCGATGCCGTTGGGGTTCTTGACAGCTCCAGTTATGTCACTAACTGCAACAACCTTACCGCCTCTTTCATGAATTAGCTTTGATGCCCAAGATCCTACATTTCCAAATCCCTAAACCGTTCGAATTGCATTTAGTTCAGAGATGGAATACAATGATTGAGTGTCAAAGTTACTGAATTTGCTCAATTCTCTAAAAGGAAAAATGTTCATAATATCCATTTCAGTCAAAACCTAGTTATTCTGCTTATTCTTTGAAAAGCATATTAAGTAGAAAAAAATACTTTTGGTTACTTAACATTAACCTGAATTGCGAAGGTCAAATCCTTAATTGATTTTCCATACTCAGAAAGTAAAGCTTCTGTGGCAAATACCACGCCGCGTCCAGTTGCAGCCTCCCTTCCTAGGGAGCCCCCAAGATCCTAGTAAAAAGCCAATAACAAATTTAGATAATTATTTAATTTGAACATTATAAAAATTCAAGAGATCACTTTACCTTAAAACAATACAGAATACAATGAAAGTAAATCTCTTTGGTTCAATTTGGAACTCCAAATATATGAACGTAAGAAAATAGGGTGGAAAAAGAGATGAAAATTAGAACGAAAGAAAAGGTTAGGAAAAAATAAGGGTTCACACTCAAATAAATTAATCTGGTATTTGTTCAATTTTTTTAAACAACTTCATGATATCAAATTTGACTGTCCTTCCAATTTGAAGGAGAAAACATTTCCTTGGTCATTTCTCTTCCCCTTTCCTACCATTTTCTGAGTTCCAAAAAGACCCTTGGTTCAAAGAAACTTACAATGGGTTTTCCTGTAACAATAGCAGGTGAGTGTCCATGAAATTTTGAATACTCATCCAAAATCCAAGCCATAGTCATAACGGCTCATAAGTTCATTTTCCAGAATTATCCTTAAAATATTTCAACAGAGAGAGCTTAATGTAGAGAGGGAAACTAACCTGTGCATTAGTGCCCATATCAGGGGCTGGGACATCAGTATTGACTCCAATTAGGTCATGAATCTTTTGGGTGAAGATGCGTGTAAGGCGTTCTAACTCACTCTTACTTAAATCCTTGGGGGTACACCCAATCCCACCCTTAGCCCCACCATAAGGAATATCTGCTACAGCACTCTTCCATGTCATCAGTTGAGCAAGAGCATTTACTTCATCAGGGTCAACCTTCCGAATACCATCATACGAAGTATATCATTAAATAATAACCAGACAATGATATGCCTAAAAAATTTAAAATCATAATCATACTATAAATTCATGCAAAAAATGTAGTGGCAAAGTTTTATGCTGGTTGCCCTTCCTATCCATAACCTTCTAAAGGAGGAACGATGAGAAGCTGAACTCACCGTGGATTTCACGACATGAATGGGAAATATCATAAGCTGACGTGCATTTTGTCGTGAGTGCACTCAAAGTAAATTCAATACGACACTAATACGTAGTATAGCGAAGTAAGGTTCGTATCCACAGGGAAAGGAATACTTTTCTCTTTATAAACTAGTAACAAAGGGGGGGATTTAGATTGAGTAAATGTACTTGAATTATATTTAAACACGAAGATGAACGAGTTATGTGGTTTAATTAATGAGAAGAAGACTTGGCTTTGCTTTTATCCACTTAATGAAATGTTCGTCGATCCCGATTATATCTTTAACTATCTTCCTCTCGAATACTCAATCGAGGAGTATATCCAGTTCATCGAGGGTAGTTATTAATAACGAGAAGCGTTCATTAATAAAACTTACTACCGAGTCAATATAGAACAAGCGCCGTATATTAACTTGATAGTAGCAATAAAATCAAGATGAAAACGATTGAGATTGATAACCTCAACACAAGCGGTTTATTGGTTCAATCAATATAATTAATTCCCCTTGGCTTATTAACCATGAGAAGCATGTATTAACAACCCAAGTTTACTACCGTGAAAGAACCGAATTAATAACAAGCGTATTAACCGATTGATTCTAGTAATATTTAATATATAGAACAAGACTAGTTGATACTTTAAGTAATGCTCAATATATTAATATGGAATATGAATAGGAAGTAATTAATATTCAAGGAAGAAGATTAAAGAAAATAACTCACAACTTACAAATCATTAAGCTTCAAAGTAGCAAAACCAAGATGGAAGAGTTTAGCTCCTCATTTGGAGACTAAACATGATGAAAAATATAAAGAAAGAACTTGTCTAAACTGAGCTAAGAAGTATATGTGAATTGGTGTCCCAAAAGTGAAGGAAAGGAGGTGTATTTATAGGCTTTTTGAGGTGCAGGTCGAGTACTCGATCGAGTATATATACATACTCGATCGAGTATGTGTAGAACATCGAATTCGTTCCATACTCGATCAATACTCGGGTAGTTTTTATAGCTATACCCGATCGAGTACATAAGTATACCCGATCGGGTATAGACACTCGAACGTGGAAAATCTTCTCCTGCATGTTCCTTTGTTTTCGGATCCGATCCGATTTGAAATGTCAACCAGATACCCGATCGAGTATATGTGTATACTCGACCGAGTATAGACCAAAATCAGGATTTTTCCTTCTTTTTGTCTTGTACTCTTGCACCTTCCTTCACCATTGATCATTTGATTGATCTTGGACCTGTTTAAGCTCAGAATAAACCTAATCTAAACAAATTACAAGAATTTAACAAACTAAACTATTACACCGAAAGTGTGTAATTTCCGAGATATTAAACAATCAAAACTAACTAAAAACGTAAATAAACATACGGAAATTACAAACGTATCAACTCCCCCACACTTAGTTCTTTACTCGTCCTCGAGTAAAGTCAAATGTTTCAAACAGTTTAAGATCATTCCATGAGTTCAAGAAAGAAAGGAACAAAGATCACCAAGGAATAAAAATGATTTTCACAAACAACATTCTCTCTTGGGTTTTATGATCTTCTATGCTCCATCTTCTTGTCTCTTCTTCCTTTTCTTCTCTTTTTCTCCTCTTAGAGATCAAATGAGTTCCTGCACACAGAAAAAGGTTTTTCTCTCATATCTCTCATTTTGCCTAGGAGCCTTTTCAGGTTTTCATCCTAGCATCTCTTTTTGTTTTTCCATCCTTTCCAAACTCACTCATTTATTTTTTTTTTATAAGCCATTTTTGCTTAGATTGCCCATTCTTGGGTTTTCAACCTAACTAGCATTTCAATTCTTTTATTTATTCTTTTTTTTTTTTTTTGTTTACAAAGAGTAAAAGAACTTCATGTATAGTAAAAGGTAGAAAATGAAATTACATACCATGAGTAATCTCCTCCCCCACACTTAGTTGAAGCACTGCCCCTAGTGCCCGCCTTCTCCACCGTAGTAACTGCCTCCAAAGCCGCTTCCAAAGCCTCCTCCAAAGCTCCCATCGCCCATGTGGGTGTCGCCGCCATCATCCCCTCCATCAAAACCTCCACCCCCGGAGCTAGATCCTCCAAAATTACCCCATTGAGTGGGGTCATACCAAGAGGGGGGTGGTGGTGGTTGAGCCATGGTGTGGAATTGGCCTTGATGAGCCATGTAAGAGTACATAGGTCCATAGAACCTACGTTGATCCTCTTCATACCGTCGGTTGTCTTCGGCCCTTTGCTCTTCTATTCTTTGAAATCCCGCCCTTTGTTCCTCCCGATACTTACCAACTTCGTTGGTAACTCGGTTGAACCCGTCAAGTAATTGTTGGAAGTAATCGGTGGGTGGTGGGGCTTGGTTGTATTCGAGCATGGGGTGAGGTGCATCCTCGGGTTCTTGGTGCTCTTGTTGCTCTTGGTCGTGTTGATCTTCAGGGGGGTTTTGGGCGTCGGGTTCTTGGAGATGTGGTGGAAGGGCGTGAGGGAATAGGTAGTGAGGTTCCTCGAACTCCGGTTTGTAGCGTAGTTTGGGGGTGTCCGGGCTTGGCATTAGGAAATATTGGACCGGTTGGGTGTGTATGATCCAATTATACATGTTCTTCGGTTGGTCCCCAATATATACCGTATGGGAAAAAGAGGTGCATCCCGAGCGGCCTAACCAACCGATGTCCATCAAACAATAGTCGGGTATAGGAGAGTTATCCGTATACCCGAACTTGCTTGCCAAGTGCATAATTACCCCACCCATGACAATGGCACCTTTGGCCATGCTTTCCTTTTTTAGATGTGCCCAAATGAGATTACATAGATTGAAGTCTACGTGACGCCGGAAAAGGGCTACGGAGATCAAACATACGTCCCCAATCCTCGTGTGGTGGTTGTTGGGGCGTCCAAGCAAACAATTTGCTAAGAATTTCAAGAATAGCCGGAGGACGGGGTGTTGGACATGACTAATATACATTTGGGAGGAGTTAAAGTTCACTTCCCCGGTCATCTTTGTCCATAGGGAGTGTCCAAAAATGGTGGTATCCGAGATGGATCTCTCGTAGGGCACCGGGATGTCAAAATGTTCAGCAAACTCGAGCTTCGTTATTGAATAGTTTCGGTTAAAAAGACGAAACTCGAGTCTATCATCCCTAAAATCCTCCTCATTGCTTTCAAAGTGCACCGAGCTCATAAATTCATAAATAATTCTTTCATTTGAGTTGTATTTCATTTTGAAAACAAGGTCCATATTCAACTCATGAAAGAATTTCTTCATCATTTTATACACCCCTAATTCACGTAGAGCATCGTGACATAGAAAACGAGAAGGTTTTACCTTCCTTTTTATGGTTGTGAGGAGTCGGGCCCGGTGATCGTTGTCGGCGGGGATGAGGTCCTCGAAACCCGGGATGGGTGCCATGGCTCTAGAGCTTTGCCCTTTGTCTTTTCTCGGTGCCATTGTTGATGGTTTTGGAGCTCAAAATAGCCAAATTTCGAATGGGGGTAGGGTTTTTGGATTTTTTGGATATTTGGGAAAAAGGGATTTTGTGGGTATGAGTGTGTAGATGAGAGTGAGGGGAGTATTTTGGTGGTGGAATGGGGTGATTTGGTGAAGGATTTAGTGAGATATGGAAGAGAGAAGATCCAAAAATGGAGTTTGGGGGAGAGGGGTTCGAAAATTTGGGTGTGTTTGGGGAAGATGAAGTGTTTTGGAGTGCATTTGGGGTTATAATCGCAGGGGTACCCGATCGAGTATCCCTGTATACCCGATCGGGTACCGGAGACAGGGGTTGGGAAAACTGGCTTTTCTGAGCATACTCGACCGAGTATCAACATATACTCGATCGAGTATTGGAGGCAGGGATTAAATTAAATTGTTTTTCCCGTTATACTCGACCGAGTATCAACCTGTACTCGATCGAGTACTGGAGACAGATTTTTTTCTTCTTCTTATTTCAGTTCATACTCGACCGGGTATCAACATATACTCGATCGGGTATAGGAGGCAGGGGTTAATTGCTTTTATTTTTCCACAAATACTCGATCGAGTATGGATATGTACTCGATCGGGCCTCAGAGGCAGGCTTCCGATGGAGTTGATTTTCCAGGAATACTCGACCGGGTATGTTCCAATACTCGATCGAGTATACCTGTATCTTTGAAAATTGATCTGCACCTCGATCGAGTATGGAAACCGGGTCCCCTTTTTTACCCATACCCGACCGAGTATTACAGAGTACTCGATCGGGTATGTCCCCAGATACTTTTTTTTTTTTTTTTTTTTTTTTTTTGACACGCACACATAATGAAATAAGTTTAAAAGAGAACATACCTTGCTTGGGTTGCCTCCCAAGAAGCGCCTAATTTAACGTCGCGGCACGACGCCATGGTGTAGTTCATCCTTCATAGATTGGATCGACGAGATCCATGCATTCAACGCTTTCTTTTGAAAAGTTCTCAAGGAACGGTTTGAGTTGATGTCCGTTGACCTTGAGGATTTTGCCTGTGTCGAGGCTCTTTATTTCAACTGCTCCGTGAGGGTAGACTTTGACTACCTCGAATGGTCCTTCCCATCGTGACCTCAGTTTACCGGGGAAAAGACGAAGGCGTGAGAGAAAGAGAAGGACTTTGTCTCCGATTTGGAAGTCCTTTCTTATTATCATTTTATCATGCCATACCTTTGTCTTTTCCTTGTAGATGGCGGCGTTCTCATAGGACTCAAGTCGAAGTTCCTCTAGCTCTTGGAGTTGTAGCTTCCTTTGCATCCCTGATTGCTCCATGTCAAGATTGAATGTTTTTACCGCCCAATAAGACTTATGTTCG